TTTTTTCAAAGCTAATAAATTATGCACTATGAGAGTGGCTTGGTTATGCTAGTTCATATATCTGGGATTCTTCAGTATGAGATATATATTGTGCAATTACTTTTATCATTTGTGAATATTGGGGGGAAAGGTTAAACAATAGTTTCTTCCATTTGTAACCACTTTTCCTCCTTCCTTTTCTTTTTCCTTCCATCAGTAAATATGTTTCCTTAAATGTATTAGGAAACAGGGAATGGCAGTATATGTATTGATTGAGGACAATAGGAACCATAAATGTTCCAGCACCTTGGAAGATTTAACACAGAAAAACAATATAAAGGGAGGGGCAACTGAAAAGTGATTCAGGTTTAGGGCCTGTAATCATGTTTTAGGCATTGCCAGAATATACATCTGAATCTGATTTACTACAATTTGTTGTAGATCAGCAGATTCCTGTCTCCTATTTCTACTGGTAATAGTGACAAAATATTTCAAATGTCTACTAATTTAATTTTTATTCCATCTTTATTGTCTTTTAAATAACTCAAGATGCAGAACATACCTAATAATCCTTCCTCCTCATTGTTTTCCCCACAACAATCCTATGAAGTAAGTTGGACTGATAGTGACTGGCCCAAAATCACCCAGCTCGCCTTCATGCCTAAGATAATGCAAGAACTCATAATCTCCTAGTTTCTAGTATGGTGCCTTAACCACCAGACTAGCTGGCTATAAATTGCTGAAATTAAACTGTTTGATCTGTACTAAGTGCAATTTTACATTAAAGAATTATAACTGTGAGAACTACAGTTCAAGATGGTTTTCTGTGCTCACGGTTTTAGCTCTGCCACCTTTCTACCAGGCTACATCACATGAATTTCTTGAAGCACAACATGGATTCTAGAACATCTAAGTATCTACCTGAGAATAAGTTCCACTGAGTTGATTCCCAGACATTCTGTTAAGTATATTTTATTTAAGATGAGCATGTGAGCTGTTCAAAATTGGTATGGAACAGAGCAGCGGTGAAATAGAATGAATAAATGAACATGTTTAAATTTACGGGATAATATAATGATTCACGGGATAATATAAATGTGTTTGTGCAATGGTCAGTCCAATAAGTATATTACTTGGCAAAGTAATATTACTTACCTGGAAAAACCAGTCAGTTGAAGAGTTAATTAACTTGTGTACCAAAACTGAAATATAAGTAAATATCCCTTTGGATACATACTCCCACATTCTTTGCTTTTTGATTTTGATGATCTAATTTAAGGAGAGGGTTTCTTTTTTTTTTTCCTGCTGCCATTAAAACATATGGAGTATCACAGCTTGCCTATATAAAATATGCATGGAGACAACTGCAGAAAATTAAACTAAATAATCAAAGCTCATTTAAATCCAAAGTTCATATAGGTTTCTATTCCTGAGTTGTTTGTTCAAGTAAATGTTAGTATTTCTTTCACTTCTTTTCAGGAACTTCTATCACAAACAATAAAGGTTATACAGATTCTCTTAATCTTTTATGAAGGAGATACAATCATTCCTTGCAGATTCTGGGCCACAGAAGTAACTTGTGGCACTCTTTTATGAAAGTAATCTCAATCAGTACTAACAGAAAAGATTCTTGTAAGTCAAGAAACCCACCAGATATATGGGCCTGTTTATCAAACAGTCTTGCAGAGTTTAAATAGGACGCTGAGCCATATTCTATTAAATCATGTTTTATTGAGTAAACCACAATTAGCTAGGATCACACAACAGACAAACTATAAACTGATTTATAAATCACACTGATTGAGCTGGCACAATATTCAAGCTTATTGTATCATATCTTGATGCAGAAGAAAGTGTAAATAATTTGAGGTATCCCAACAAAAGCTATCTTTAAAAAATTCATTCTAACTTGAACCAAGGGATTGTTATAATAAAAGATGTAATAAAACTTACATCAACATTGATATACATACGTATATAGTACTTGCTTATCTATTTTCTCAATGGTAGCATTATGAATATTAATGTAAACACGTTTAATGCTTGCCAATTGTTCTACGCTGCTCAGAGTTGCATTTCGTGATAAGGCAGCTATATAAATTTGATTAATAAATACAATAAATGAATGTAGTGATCATTTGCAATTTTGCAGCCAAGATCTGTTAGTGCTAGCCCCAGAAAAATATTTTTATTTCTGATAGCACCTATAGGTCAAAAATAATCCTATGAAGCTTTCTCTTTTTTTAAAATAGACCATGCTGCAGAGCTCAGTATTTGTTTGAAGTTGAATAAATTTGCTTAGGAAAAAAAAGACAAAGGTATGTATTTAGAATGGGTTTTTTTTCAATTAGAAGTTGAACAATAGTATGTGTTCTATGGTGGCACCACAGAAATATATGTTCTATGGTGGCATCATAGATGAATACAGGTAGTCCTCAATTTATGACTAAAATTGAGCCCCAAAATTTAGTTGCTAAGTGAGACATGGGTTAAGAGAGTTTTGTCCCATTTTTATGACTTTTCTTGCCACAGTTGTGAATCTGGCTTTCCCATTGACTTTGCCTGTCAGAAGGTTGCAAAAGGTGATCACATGACCCCAGGACACTGCAACGAACAGAAATAAGACTACTGCAATGCTCTCTACATGGGGCTCCCCTTGAGGGGCACCCGGAGGCTCCAACTGGTCCAGAACGCAGCAGCGCGGGTAGTGATGGGAGCAGCATGGCGCCCCCATGTAACACCGCTCCTGCGCGAGCTGCACTGGCTCCCGGTGGTCTTCTGGGTGCACTTCAAGGTGTTGGTTATCACCTTTAAAGCGCTCCATGGCATAGGGCCTAGCTATCTTCGAGACCGCCTGCTGCTACCGACGACCTCCCAGCGACCCGTGCGCTCCCACAGAGAGGGCCTCCTCAGGGTGCCATCAGCCAAACAATGTAGGCTGGTGACCCCCAGGGGGAGAGCCTTCTCTGTGGGGGCACCTACCCTCTGGAATCAGCTGCCCCCAGAGATAAGGAGAATCCAAGACCTCAGTGCCTTCCGCCGTGCCCTTAAATCCCACCTTTTCCAGCAAGCCGGGCTGGCTTAGGAAGAATTTTTTTTAATTTTTTTTTTTAATTTTTAAATGTTTAATTGGTTTGTGGTTTTTTAAATTTTGGGCCAAATTTATATAGATTTTAATTGTTTTTAATATTTGTATTTCATGTTTTTAATTCTGGCTGTGCACCACCCTGAGTCCTCAGGGAGAAGGGCGGTATATAAATTGAAAATAAATAAATAAATAATAATAATAAAAAAATTTAGAAGTTACAGCCTACAACCCTACACTGTACCCACTCAGAAAGAAGCTTTATTAACCAACGAGGCACAGAGGAAAGTCCCATGGCTGAAGTTCAGTGGGTCTGTTGCCTTCCTCCAACATCCATGCTGATTCGGAGCAAGCAAGCTTCAGATTAACAGAGCCGGAAGAGACCTTGTATAGGTCATTTAGTCCAACCCCCCCCTCCATGCCCAAGCAGGAAACCCACATAGTAGAAAGCCTGTAAAGATTCTCAGTCATCCAGGTCATGATTGTCCCTGCTTTTTCAGGAGGCAACTGGACTTTGTTTTCTCCTTGAAGATGTTTTGCTTCTCATCCAAGAAGCTTCTTCAGCTCTGACTGAATGGTGGGGAATGGAAGGATTTATATTCATTGCAGACAGCTGGTCATTTGCATCCTTTTAGAGGGTGGTTGAAGCACTTGGAGGTTTATCTGTGTCCTCAGGGTCACCTGTGTAGTGCTCCTGGTTCCTGTAGTCTGCAATTTTTTCCTCTGGAAATCCATTCCTACTCCCACACCATTCAAAGGGTGTCCATCCCAAATTGTGTAGCTAAAAGTCTGTAGGAGTTCTCAGCCATCCAGGTCATGGTTGTCCCAAAGGTGTTTTTTTAGAGTAGAGTAGAGTAGAGTAGAGTAGAGTAGAGTAGAGTAGAGTAGACTAGACTAGACTAGACTAGAATTCTTTATTGGCCAAGTGTGATTGGACACACAAGGAATCTGTCTTTGGTGCATATGCTCAGTGTACATAAAAAGACAAGATACATTCGTCAAGAATCATAAGGTACAACACTTAATGATAGTCATAGGGTACAAATAAGCAGCAAGGCATCAATCAATATCAATATAAATCATAAGGATACAAGCAGCAAAGTTACAGTCATGCAGTCATAAGTGGGAGGAGATGGGTGATAGGAATGATGAGAAGACTAATAGTAATAGTAATGCAGCCTAGTGTGAATAGTTTGACAGTGTTGAGGGAATTATTTGTTTAGCAGAGTGATGGCATTCGGGGAAAAACTGTTCTTGTGTCTAGTTGTTCTGGTGTGCAGTGCTCTACAGCGTCGTTTTGAGGGTAGAAGTTAAAACAGTTTGTGTCTAGGATGTGAGGAGTCTGTAAATATTTTCACAGCCCTCTTTTTGACTCGTGCAGTATACAGGTCCTCAATGGAAGGCAGGTTGGTAGTAATTGTTTTTTCTGCAGTTCTGCAGCAGAGGCAACTGGACTTGGTTTTTTTTTCTTTTGAAGACGTTTCGCTTCTCATCCAAGAAGCTTCTTCAGCTCTGACAGGATAGAAAAAAAGTCCAGTTTCCTCCTGCAAAAGCACCTTTCGGACACACAAGTTGAAACTTACACAAGAGTCAACGAGCAAGCATGCCCCAAAGGAGCCACCCCAACCAAGGTGACAAACTAAAACCCTCCCGAAAGCCGTCGTTTCTTCTCAACCAACACGGGAGCGAGCTTCCGCTGTGGAAGCCGGCGCCGCGTTTGTTTACTTTGCGCTCTGTCCCGAGCCCCGAGCTTCTTTGGCGCGCTTCCTCTTCACCCGTTCGGCGCGTCCTGCCCCTTTAAAAAGCCTCCCCCCTCCCGGCCGCCGCCGCCGCCGCGAGCTCCAGAGCGCAAGGGGGCGGGGCGCGTCGCTGAACGGCGTCTCGCAAGGCCAACGGGCGGCGGGCGAGGAGGCGGGCGTTGCGGGGGTGTCTGTCGGGTTAGAACGAGGCGTGACCCAGTTGACGCGCGCTGGAAGGAGAGGGGAGTGGGAAGGAGGCAGAGAGGTGCAAACAGCCGCCGACGCTGCCACTCTCGCCACCCCAGCGGTGCCGTCGCCCAGCCGGGTCAGCGTGCTTCTCTCTCGCCCGTGAGCCTGGGGAACCTGCAGCTCAAAGCCGCCGCTAGCCACAGCACCATGTACCCCGGGAACAAGCGGAAAAAGCTCTGGCGGGAGGAGAAAGGTACTGACCTCCTTCACCTGAAAAGCGCCGCCGGGGTTCCCGGGGGCGAGCAGGATGGTGCGGGGCGGTCCCCCAACGCCGCTTCTCCCACTCGTGTTTCCTTTCGCGAGGCGTGCGGGCAAAAAAAAAAAAAAAGGCTGCCGCTCCTCCTTTCCTCCTCCTCCTCCTCCTCCTCTCCGCGCGAGTCGGCGGCGGTCTCTGCCCTGCTCTCACCTGAGCGACGTTGCCTTCCTTCTCGCCTCCGCCGTGCTATCTTGGCAGGACAGCCGCGCTCCTCCCCTTGCTTTGCAACGCTTCTCCTCCTGACTTAGCTGGTGCTTTTTTTTTTTTTTTTTTTTTTTTGTTGCCCCCTTCTCTCCGCTGGAGGAGGGCTCCTTTCTTCTCCGGACACCGAGTCCGCCTTCGGGGCGGGGGCGGGGGAGGGGAGTAGGATGGGACGGCATCCTCTCTGCACAGCCCTCGCAGCAGCCTGGTTAGGGGGCACCCCAAGAGAGGGGCATCTTAGGGTAATCCTAACGGCCCCAGGCCTCTCTTGCCACTCAGGTGCTGCGACCTTGGCAAGGGTTCTTGGGTCAGCCGTACCTAGACGTGTCCAGGACATCCCCCTGATAGGAGCTGATCAGTGGGGATGGTTGTTTTCCTTTGTGTGTGTGTGTGTGTGTGTGTGTGTGCCCAGTTTTGGTTTAAGTCTGTTCTGTTTCAGAGTTGATAACCTTCCTCTTACTTCGTTTCAACTGCCTGGTGAATCTTTGGTTTCTTTCTTGGGTACTGCTAACCCCCCTCCACCCCCTTTTTTAAAAAGTTATTTTCTGCTGGGTCATCACCGTTTGTTTCCTTTTAGTCCTGTATGCATTAACCCAGAGCAAAGCTGTCAACCTGGAATGTACTTTCACCGAGTTCCGGTTGCAAATTGTGCGCTGACAATATCTCAAGAGTTGGGTGTGAGTGCCACTTTGGAAATGAAAGTGAGGTTTCTCTGTCTGCTGCCTATGGATCTTTCTGTTTCAGAATGCTGGGAATGGAAGCTACCGTCTTTGATAAGTTGCTGGCTGAATGAATTTCAACTTGCCTCTCACTCTAGGGCTGCCTATTGTGAGGGGGTTGCAAAAAAGTGACAGGACTGCTAAGCCTGGATCATTGGGCCCTTTGGAAGACATATTTGCAAAACAAAAAAAGAACGTGGGCATTGTTTGTGTACTGTGTGAAAGTTGTGAGAGATGAAAACATCTATTGAATCAACTTTACCCAGTCATTCCAAATTTGGGAGGATGGATTGCTTCACTTTGTAAAATACCAAACCTTCTAATGGTGAAGTGGTAATTATCTTTTCCTAATAAAATATTTAATAAACATTCTTTTGTTAAGATGTCCATGAGATGGGCAGTCTCTAAATTTGACATATAAATAAATAAAATGTTGGTAGTGAAGTTTTGGTGTGAGTTTGACATGAAATATATATTGCAAAGATAATATCAAATGCAAGGAAGAATAAAATGACTGATGTAAAGTTCAAATGTCCAACTATCCATAAGGAGAAAAAAACCCCAACTATTGACATATTTTTACACACAGTATTTATCTGTTTGGGACTGACCATCTCTCATGCCCTTATCTGTATATTTAGATTAGACTGAAGTGCATAATATAAACCGGTATATCAGCTTTACATAATCTATATTGATTAAGCTATAGTATGGATTTCTGTTTGGATTACTTCTAGCAGAAACTAGATCTTTGCACTGTGAGATGTAAAACAAAGTCCTTTTGTAGTTTGTCACTGGTGCTGTTAAAAAGGTCTCAGTTTCTTTTAAAATACATTCTGTACTGCTAAAGTTGAAGCCCCTAACTTCATCACAGATAAGTATATTTTCAATAATTTGCTGGGATGGGAGGGAAATAACTGTTTTTCCACATAACAATCCTAAGGAATGCTGTGTGAAATGTATCATTTAGTGTAGAAATTTGGTTGATTTCTAAACATTGTTACAAGAGACTTACAAGAATATAAAAGTGTATGTATTAAACTCTAGGTAAGAATATTTATAATTAGAGATTATATTGAAATGTACATACATAAAATATTGTCCAAATTACGAATTATTAGTTACTTGCATTAAGTAAATCTTTTCAGATTAAACGATCTTTCTCAGTTTAGTGTTTTATATATGTTTTAGTGTGATAAATTTATCTTGTAGCTTTGAAGAAAATCTAATCTTTTATTGGTATCTTGAATGGTAGAGCTTCTTTTAGGATTGCTTTAATAAACAATTTATTAATGCTAGAAATGGGATTGCCTGTACAGATAAACAGTATTTGTGCTTCCATGGCTACTTCCAGGTAGATGATTGTCACTGATGACTCAAATGATAGCTTTTGTATTTTATCAATTCCATAAATGCTACACATGTATTTAATCACTTTGATACAGTGGTGTGGGTCACTAATGTATGTACTATATGCTATTTCTCAGGCAAATATTTAAATGCCTAATGCCAATGGAAGATAAATTCTAAATTATTTCATTTCATTTCATTTATTCGAATTTCTATACCGCCCTTGTCCTTTCGGACTCAGGGCGGTGAAATTATGAGATAACCATTAATAAAATAATTTCAAAAACTGTTTCAAGTTGTAACATGATGTAATAGCTTGTAGGATTTGTTAACCATAATATCAAGAACTATCTCTTGGTGGCATTGCAAGCGAGGAGTGAAGATTACCATGTCTTAGAATAATTTATATAATTTAAAAATCGAGTTAATATCTGCTATAGAACAATAACATGTAAACTAATTAAATCTGCCAAGTTCAAACAGTGGCCTACAAACTGTAGTATAAAATAGCAAAGAAGGATATATAAACAGAATAAATGCAATCTTTCTTAAGAATTAATTGTTGCTCATCCCTTAAACTTTCTCAGATGGATTTAGGCTTAAAGTTAAACTTAGACTTGTTTAACACAATTTATTGAGCATTTGAAATCATATCTGAGTTGTTGAAGTTTTGGTTCATTCCAAGCCTTAGTAATTAGGCTGAGTAAAGAAATTAGTTGAATCTCCTTGATATCTGATCTTAGTCTACATGAATTCCTCAAATGCTTGTATTAGAACTCCATAATTGATTCATGCTACAAAGGAATCTGCTTCATAATTTTGCTAAAACATATTCATGTGCTTTCTGATAGAACGTTTGTTGAAAATGACATTGGAAGAGAGACGTAAAGAATATTTACGGGATTATGTACCCTTGAAAGATATTCCAACATGGAAGGAAGAAATGAAAAACAAAGCCCAAAGTGATGGTAAGTCATCTTATTAAATTTTTATCTGCACTTATGTTTTTAAACAGCTGCACCCAATGCACTGGCTTCTAGGTATTTTTGATCAAACGTTTCATAATTCGCAGGTGGCTGGTGGAAGAAATTGTAATCCAATACATCTTGAGGGCACCAAGATGACAAAAGCTGTCTTGTGAAGTTGAACATGATAGAACTACTTACCTTAAACAGATGTAATAGGCTTTGTTACTTAACAATTCACTATAGCCTAGGGATCCCCAATTTTATTCAGCTATTGGATACTTCGGGAATTTTGTGGATGCTCTCATAAAATGACTGCTATGAAATCTTGATAAGTTTTAAAATAACTGTTGTGAAGGGTATATCCAGTTTACCAAAATGATTCTTACCATCACTTCCATCTGTTACCAATAGACTACTCTTGTTTCCCTTTGTGTACTTTCTGGGCAGGCGGCATATTTCCAACCAAAGAAACAAAGGTAATTTTTATTCATTGATCTTTTTATTTTCTAAGAAGGCTTTTTATATCCATTGGAAGTATAGCAGCATTCCTGGAATTAAAAATAATGCTGCTAGTGCTTTGCTTTGCGTTTTTTACTTAAAATATAAGGTTGGTGGTTTGGCAGCTGGTGGACAGAGGTGTGAATAACTATGACTAACTGTGATTGCAACCAAATATTGGCAGCTATGAAATAAAACCATGTTTATGAAGTGGTCTCAACTAATAACCAATGAAATGACAGCACATATGTTGCTTTTATGTCGGGACAGGGAGTATATTTGCAAATTTGCTACTACTTGTTCTTGTAATGCTAACTTTTGTTAGAGCAAGTACACTGATTCACCTTTTTGTCTCTTAATAATATATCCTTGTTTATGCAACTCTAAAAGGACAATTGAGTGCCAAAACACACATGACATCATATTGTCCCAATTGTCACTAGGGTCCATCTTGTCAGGGTTTTGATTAATATTATTTAAAATTATTAATGTTCTTTAAGAGTCTCAATTTGGTATATATAATTTTTGGGATGCGGTATAGTAAGTAATTATACTATACATAGTACATTATACTATATATAGTACATTTTTTATCAAATGCAACAGTTCTTACACTGACTTGGAGATAAAAAGCTTTTAAAAATGACCTAGAGTAAAATAGCTGTAGGAAATAGCAGACAAAGCCAAAATTGCAAATGACTCCATTTCTGACATATTGTAGTATTTATGATCAATTTGTTTAATTTTGATTTTATCCTTGACAGTACAGGAGTTTGCTATCTTATTGGTTAGAATAAATACTGAAAACATTATGGCTGTGATGATACTTGGCAAGCCATAAAACAGTGAAGAGGGATGAGACTTAGCAAGCAAGATGTCTATGGACTCATCTTGGGATCTGCAGATTTAGTGCATTCAAGAACCTGCAATTTTGATATCAATCTTGCATTCCAGGAAATTATAACTAAAGAAGATTACTCTAAATAGAGAAGCATCAGTTCTGTTTTTTTCTATTATTTATATGGGAATTATACAGATACCCAGCACAAGCAGTTCTCATTAGGGAAACTGAGGTTAATACTTGCTGGAGAATCCCACATTTCAGCTGAATAAGTCCTCTGAGTCATGTTCAAGCCTTGTAACCAGATGGACACATCCTTGTTGTATTCTTGGTAATAGAGTAAAAGCAGTTTACCATACTGCATCACTTTAATGAATATTACTAGCTGCCCAGAGTCGCTTTGCAGAATGAGATGGCCGGCGTATAAATTTAATACATAAAATAGGAGATGCTCACATTCACAAAATTCAGTAAAGAAATTCCTGTTTAGAAAATTAAAATAGCCACCATTTTTCTGCTAATTTTTTTCCAGCAAGGACTACTTTGAGAGATCCTTGGTGCTCTCTGAGCTTGCTCGTTTTCTTGTAGATTTTTCATTACCCAAACTAGATAACATCATATTGCTGAGTTTGGGTAATGAAATGTCTGCAAGAAAACAAGCAAGCTCAGAGAGCACTAAAGACCCCTTATGTCTACCCTGAGCTACAAATATTCTTTTTTATTGGAAAGACTACTCCTCCCCCTTGATAGATAGATAGATAGATAGATAGATAGATAGATAGATAGATAGATAGATAGATAGATACAGATACAGATACAGATACAGATACAGATACAGATACAGATATATACTTTAAAGTTCATTAAGTATTGACAGGAATTGCAGTCAAATGTTTAGGATAAGAGTGGAAAAGAAGTGATAATTATTCAAAAGCTGAATTATTGCTCCATCCTGTGGAAATGTCACATTAGTGTCTTTGGTATCAATGCTTATCAAACTAGTATCTTATAGCATGACAGTCAAAAACAAACTGAAAATAGAACCAAAAAATTTTTGTTATTACTTGACTAAATAGAGAGAATAATGCTAAACTTATCATTGCTATTTAAAGATAGTCTATCCTTTCTTCTTCATTTTAGCCTCTTCAGGACAAGTGCCTAATTACTTTTTGAATTCTGGTTAGCTGATCATAGTTATTGACTCTAGTAGCTTCTACAATTTCAGTAGTATTTGGGAAGAGTGAAAATAAGACTGGAAGAAAATGTTCTTTTTAAACAGTTTGGTGTTTTTCTAGTGAATATAGTAACCTCTTTTGGCTTCTCATGATGATCTAATGTTGATATGGCAGTAGCCTAGCAACAGTACTTAGTTATTGCTACTAATACTCCATTTGGCCACTAATAGAACTTGGAGAAGACCAGAGGCCAAAGAAAATGGTAAAGATGCGATACTACCCATACTAAGTCATGTTGTAAAATGTAGTTTAACAGTCCATACTGGCTTGATTTGCACACAATGCTAGGCCATCTATGGATTTACATATACTTAATCAAAACTAAACAAGCTGTGCTATAGCTTATTGTTGTGTGAATCTAGCTAAATAATACAGATAAATTTTGTTAATTGCTTTGTTCTGGAATTGAGGGCTACTTGACATGCTTCAGTTTCCTTATATGAAAAGATATAGTACAAGTCTTCTCCCCACCATCCAGTCACAACTGATGAAGCTTCTTGGATGAGAAACAAAACATCATCTTCTTCAAGGAAAAAGCAGTCCAGTTGCCTTTAGAAAAAGCACCTTTGAGACAATTATGACCTGGATGATTGAGAATCTCCATAGACATGTACAAGTCTACATGTTTACAATCTACATGTAAAACAGTAGAGTAATTATATGAAGACTCTCTATTCCTTCCTGACAGGTGCTTCTAAAAACATCAAGTCTTTAGTTGAGACAATTTCTTTTTCTCTCTTCCCCCCACAATTTTAATATTGTTTTTTACTCCAAAAATTGTTGTCGGGTGTTTTTAATATTTGTGTGCTTCCCCTGGTACTAGATCTCTTTGTCCAGATTTTAAACAGCTAGGTTCTAGCTTAAAGCCAACTTCTGTCATCTTAGCTTTCTCTGAACTATCAGCATTTTTACCCATCCTTTTAATCCTGGAATGTACAAACTTTGCTTTGAGCGATTTTCTTTGTGCGTGGTTGTTTAGATACGTGGTGAAGATGTGACAGTTACTGCCCACAGTAAATGAATAGTGATATTTGTAGGTCATAGAGGCAGACAGCTTTGTTCATGTTTTCCTGTGCAATATGTGGACATTGTTTAAGTTGAGAGCTGTGTAGTTTTTGCCTTTCAAATGTTGAACTCATAGGTCAGACCAAATACCATGAAGCTTTGTTCAGTATTCTAAACCAAAACAAACTATGATGGCTTAAATTCATTCAATATGCTAATAGTGAATATGATTGATAAGCTATTTATGGCTTAAAGTGTTGTATGAAGAGTCATCCAGAGAGTCTCCATCCAAGGGCTTTATGCTATGCTCAGGCTTCTAAATCTTGATGTGTTTTATTTAAATGGGATCCATCCCACTGATCATGTCAATTTTCCAGAAAACCTACTGTGTTTTATCAAATTTACACATCATCAGTTCTTTTTTTCCTCCATAATGGAGCTCAAAATAGTGTATATACACCCACTCCTTGTTCTGTTCTGACAATTAGGTCATTAAGCAAAATGGTCACTAAGTGAAAGTGAAAAAGAGATGCTACAAAGATTACTGGCTTCTGCCATCTCATTCAGCTACAGGTAGTTCTTATGAGTAGTAGTTTAGTGACCGTTTAAAGTTAAAATGGACCCTTCAAAATGATGGTCATTTTGAGGGTCAGAAGCGGACCCTTATGATCAGCTTCTGATGACCATCTTCTTCCTTCTCTCACCCCCCCCCCCCCCCCCCATTATGTGACTGCATTGCAGGTGCTTGGCAACCAGCCTGGATTTACAGCTGTTTGCAGCGTCTCATGGTTACATGACTGTGATTTACTACATTTTTACCAAAACCGTGCATTTATTTCTGGTCTTTAGGAAGAACATCCCATAGCAAACCATGGGTTTGCTTAATGATTGTGGCAGTCACTTAATGACTATGGATTCACTTAATGACCATGATGATTTGCTTAATGGTCACCGCACAAAAAGACATAAAATCAGGTCGCTCATATGATTATCTGCCTTTTGACGGTCACTACTTATAGTCATAATGGGCAAGCTCCATTATGGTTGTAAATCAAGGACTACTGGAAAAATTCTCTTGTAACATCATGGTACCATTACTCTTACTCCAATGTGTGTTGTTAGGTGTCTGAAATTTGGTCATAATTGCATTGGTTGTTTGGAAAGTAAAGTTTTTATTACTGTTGTATTTGTGAATGGTCACTTAAGTTGAGGAAATCGTTATGTGAGGAATGGGTGTAATGTTCTGATGTCTCCAATTTAGACAATGACTGCTTTCAAATCAATTTAGCTTTAGAATGATTGCTATAGGATAGCATCCAATCCTATAGCAGTAATTTGCTCCTTTACAACTCTTTCATTTTTTTTTCTTCTGATCTTGCTCAGAATGTAACCATTGCTCTGTCTTTCTTCTAGGCCACTCT